GGTGCTGGGGGATTGAACCGCGGTCCCTGATGCTTTTGCTAAGCTTGTTCTAAGTAGGTGCTTTAGACCACTGAGCCATCTCTCCAGCCCGAGTCTGCACATCTTTGCCTGGTGTTTTCTGGCTTCTTGTGGCCCCGGTTCAGGCACTGTGAGGGCCAGATCCTTCTGTGGCTCATTCCAGGCATCACACTGCCCACATCACATGATGACCCCCTAGGTCATTTTCATAACCCTGGGCTTGTGCCTTCTGCTGGGCACCCCAGGCTTCTTATTCAACCAGTCCAGGGTACCCATTGTCATCTTGTGACAGCTGACGCTGGGGATGGGGCAGCATCTCACGGGCTGACAAACCTGAGATTGACCTGGAGACAGCATTCTCAGGTTGGACAGTCCTGGAGGCACTGCCCAGGAGCAGCTGGCAGGACCAGACCAGATGGACTGCAGAAGGAGCATCCAGGGCACCCCAGCCCCGGCTGGCCGCTAACATCATGATGTGAGCCCCACACACCCTGCTTTGGGCTTCCTCGACCTCCGAAGAACCAAGGTACCTGGAAGGCAACACAAGCCCCAGCCCCAAATCTGAACCTCAGCAGGCTCCCTAGAAAGATCTGGTCATGCCTGGGCTTGATGCCAGGCATTGTTTGGGTCTTGCAGTCCCCAGTGCCTGCCATAGCTATGTTCTAGGAAGGGTATGGAGCTGGAGCCTGGTCCTCAGGGCCCTCAGGTCTAGGCCTCCACTGATCCTAAGAGCCTGAAAACAGGTGTGGAGGGCACACCTAGAATCCTAGCATGGGGGAGACTGCGGTAGCGTTGCTGAGAGTTCCAGGCCAGCCTGGGTTACATAGCGCATTCAGGACCAGCCTAAACTACACATCGAGATCCTATCTCAAAACAAGGGTGAGCTAGGCACTGGTGCATGCGTCTACTCAGCTACTTAGGAGTCTGAAGCAGCAGTGTCACAATTTCTAGAACACCTGGGCAAGTTAATAAGAATTGTCTATAATTTTTCTTAAGTAAAATTATATAAAGAGTTCAGGATGTAGCTCAGAGCTGTAGCACTTGCATAGCATCTACAAGGATCTGAGTTTTGTTCCCAGTACTGGAAAAAATGGGAGGGGTTCCCAAAAAATGGGTGAAGCTCCCATTTTGTAGGGGCTGGAGGCTCATTACTTCCATCCATGAACGCTTCCATGCACATTTGCATGTGCATCTGTGTCTGTGGTGTGTGCTGTGTGGCTGCATGTGCCACCTGTGTGGATGGTAGTATGTGCGCGCGCACACACACACACACACGGTTTTGATTTGTTCTCTCCCTGCCCAGCTCCTCAGTGCACATCCAAAACCTGGGCAGGAGGAACGCCACCTCCCTAGGCTTGGAGCCCTGGTTGTGTGCTCTGCAGGTTTCTAGCATGGAGCTTAAGTGGCCCAGTGGGCCAGGGTCACATGGAGACATGGAAGGGGTCCGCTCATCATGAGCTCGGAGTCCTACTTCAGTTCTGTCCTGTACCTGGATGCCGCTGGACAAGCCCTCTGCCCTATCTGCAGGCTACTACCTCCGCCCAGCAATTTCCTGTCCCTGCCCCAAGATAAGCTTTTCCACGACCAGGCCTTTGGAGGGCAGGGTGAGCCAGCCAAAAGGTTTCAGGTCCCTCACCACCTGCCTGGAGATCAGCAGCTATGTATATATGTTCGCCTGTGTTACCCCACTCTGGCAGGATCAAATGTCCCGAGAAGCTGGCCTGTCACCTCACTCTGGCGTCCAGGTGTGCCAGGGGGCTGCCCCAAAGAGGCCCTGGCCACGTGCTTGCAGTCAGGCGCCCTCTGCTGCTCAGTCCCTTCCTCAGCCGCCCACAGACTTCCCCTGTGTCCTTTGATAGTACAAACATGGGAGAAGTGGTCAGAGGCTGACTTGTGACACCCAGAACCCTAGGTGGCCCTGTATCCTTCCTGGGTCCAGATAGGGTGGCCACCAAGTTGTGTGGCTCTCAGAGGCCTGGGATTGCCCTCATTACCATCTGGCAACAAGCCCTTTCCTCCAAGACTGTGCTATAGCGCTGAGACTTGCCCCTCGCTGGGGGAAGCCTGGGGCACCCTTATTTGGGGGGCACCCTTATTGTCCCTTTGTGGTCTCAGCTTAGGATGGGGTCGCCATCTCCTGTACCCTAGGAGAGACTGTGTCCACCCAGGTCCTGGCCAGGATACCCTCTGTATCCCAGCTAATCAGTCATACTTTTATTTTCTAAAGCTTTATTTATGTTATAAAATAGATTGTTTTTTTGGTAACTTTTTAAAAATTTAAGTTAACATTTCTTTTTTCAAGACAGGGTCTCCTTGTATAGTTCAAGCTGGCCTTGAACTCCTGGCGCTCCTCCTGCCTCAGCCTGTGGAGTGCTGGGGTCACAGCCAGCTTCAGTGAACATCCTTAGCTCTGTGATCCGGGACAGGAGTGACAGGGAGGGGTGGGGGCTGAGCGCTAAGCCTAGCAGGCTAGCCTGTGGAGGCCGCCTCCTCCTCATCACTGCCATCAGGGACTGCATCTGTGCCAAAGTAGCGATCGCCAAAGTTCCCTGTTGAAAGAAGCAGCCTAGTGTGATGGGCGCCTGAGGCCACAGCCCAGCCCCCAGCGCCCCGGAAGGGCCAGGGCAGCCTCACCAATGCCTGGGATGATGCGGAAAAGGTCGTTGACACGTTTGTCCACAGCCGTGGTGATGATTCTCACACGAGGGAATGCGTAGGCCACTGAGTGCACGCCCATCTCTGCCATAAGCAGTGACAGCAAGAAGATCTTGTCCTCAGGCACATCGTGGTCCTGGCCAGGGCAAGCACAGGTCAGTCCCACGCCATGGGAGCCTCTGCTCCCACAGGGTGCCCACTTACCAGGAGCACACGCACTGCCATCATGGCAGCCGCGCCTGTGGACACTGTGCAGTCCATCAGGATCACGTGGTCATCGCTGATGTCTTTGGGCAGGCGCAGATAATGGAGCTGTGGGCAGCGAGGGGTGAGCTGCGTCCCGCCAGGCCCCTGCCCCGCCAGCCCTTCCCAACGACCTCAGCACCTCAGGCTCCCCAGTCAGCTGGTTGGTCTGGATGAGAATGGTCCCAATACGGACATCTTTGCACACAGCACGCAGTGCGGGCTCCATGGTCTCCCCAGCACGTAGGATAGACACACCTGTGATCTGGGAAGAGGGGTGGTGTGAGCTCAGCACCCTCCTCCCGCTGACGGCCAGCCTTGGCCCCACGTACCTGCTTCCCTGCGTAGCACTTGCCCGCGTAGTCCTGGCCCTGTGGGGTCTGCACCACACAGTCCTGAACAGGAGGAGCCAGGTATCTGTGAGCCCCAACCCGTCCCATCGTGGCCCTGGCCCATCCCTGGGCAGCACCTCACTTGGAAGGGGAGGAAGGAGAGGGCGTGCTCAATCAGCAGCCTCATCAGCCTCTTGGAGTAGAAGATGAACTCGTCCCGGCTGGTTTCCTTGTCCCTGCCGGGCAAGGGAACTTAGCTTAGCGGGACTGGCTCCTGGGGTCGCCCCTCCCTGCCCGCAGGGGGTGCTCACCTGATGATGGTGTGCATGCCACGCACCTGGGGTGTGCTCTTGAGGACACTCAGCGTCTGGGGGAGGGGGTGGCACTGGTGTGCTGAGGCCAGTGCAGCCCTGGAGACACAAACCCATTAGGGGTACTCACAAATGGGTGTCCTGGGGCAAGGACAGCTGTGGGGAAGGCAGCTGGCAGGGAGGGTGCTGGCTGGCTGGCTGTGGCTGATCTGAGGACAGGGCTTAGGACAAGTGTTATCCCACCTTCACTGCCAGCTGACAGGCAGAAGACAGAGTCTGGCCAAGAGTTTGGGGGGCAATAGTTTGCCAGCTAGGCTCAGAGGCAGGAGGGGCCCAGGCAGCAGAGGGGAGGCTCAGAGTGGTGAAAAGTCCTAGACCCAGGATAAGGAACTTATCCCCCAACCTCTCCCCAGCTAGGCAGTAGGTCAAGCCCTGCCAGGCCCACATCTCCAGGTAGTGCAGGGCCCCACAGCGGAGCAGGCAGAGGCTCAGCAGGGCCGGTGCCCCCAAAGCCTGAGAGGGAAGGGGGACTAGGGGCGTGCAAAGGCAGAAGGCAGGGGTAAAGGGGAGACAGTGCAGGAGGCAGAGAGGGTCAGAGGGACTGGACAGGGCAGCAGGGACAAGGCGAGGCAACAGGGCTGTGTGGGAAGGCAGTGGGCTGGCAGGGGAGCAGGGGTGCAGGATGGGCTGTGGGGGGCAGGGGGTGGCGTGGCAGGCGGGAGGCACACAGCGCAGCACATCCAGAGCGCGCTCTGCTCACATATCCCAACGCAGCTTCCTCTGCTCGCCAGGTGAAGAGCGTGTTCAGGGAGGGAACAAGGCAGGAAACGGGTTTACACAGAGGAAAAGAACAGAAAGAAGACCACTTAGTGGGGAGAGCAGCAGTGTCCTTGCAGATGGTCCCAGCCGGAGGGCAGAGGGAGGAGGCCGGGAGCCTGCCTGGGCTCAAGCACCCTTCCCTCCTGCCGCTGGCCATTTCCTGTGGTTGAAGGAGGCATGTGGGGAACTGGCCACCACTCTCTTGGGTGACCAGAGAATGGAAAATGGAGCTAGCCACAGCCTGGAAACTTCTCAGAATGAAAGATTTAAGATGGACCTGACAGGAGGCCTGCAGTGCCCCGGTCTTGGTGAGGGACAAGCAGAGAGGCATGCAGGGACCAGAAGCAGGGTGGCAGGAAGGTGGCCCTGGAGGCATTTCTAAGCATCCTCAGAGGCGGTCAGCCAGAGCTTCCCAGCCCCCGGGACAGCCTAGGGGAAGGGCAGGGTCCTGGTACTGCCCAAGGCTTGGCAGGTTCATCTAAGCATTGCACCAGGGGCTCTAGGACAGAGAGGGACACAACACAGCCAGGGAGGATGTGGGAGGAGCCAAGGCCTCACCCCCAAGCCAGTGAGGAGGCAGGGCCAGGCCCTCTGGCTGCTGGGTTCCACAGACAGGAGCATCCATCCAAGTAGGCCTGCACAGGTGCCGTGATCTGGGGCAAGTTTAAACTCTCTGTGCCTCAGACTCCTTATCTGCCCACAGGAGAATTAGAAGCAGAACTGCTCTGCCCTCCACATCAGGAGAAGGGCCACCTGATGTCTGGCCAGGTACAAGCTCAGCCCTGCTGCTCCATGTGAATGTTGGAAATGCCTCCGTCTATGCAGACAGTGGTGGAAGTCTTACCTGACGCTGAGTTCACGCTGTGGCAGCAACACAAGGAAACACAAGGGAATGGGTGACGCGTCAGTGACCAGGGCAGGCACTGGGTCCCCCCTCCCGGGAACGAATAGGCCGCAGCCCTGTGGGGAAATGGCCCAGACAGCTGCCAGCGGTGGGAGGGGGTGCGCTTCTAATAGCCTTGAATTGGGACCATTTGGGCCACACTTGTGGTTCTGGATCGGGACAGTGAAAGCCAGATTCCCCGTGCCCATTCTGCAGGTGCCAGGCCTCCAATAGTGTGGTAAGCATTGCACTAGTGGCTGAAGGACAGAGACCACACCCAGACCCAGATACCAAGTCACCAAGTGCCACACGTGACTCCTGTAGTTTCACTCTTGGATCAAACAATGAGACGGGAGCCACTGATCCATGTGGCACTCGGCACTGAAGTCCCGTTGTTCTGGGCCAGTGAGGCAGTGAATCTCTACTGTTGTCCCCAAAGGGTTGGGAGGGATAAGAGTGCACCCTTTCTTCAAGGCCATTCTTTTTTTTTTTTTGGCAGAACCGGGGATTGAAAACCAGGCCCTTGCGCTTGCCAGGCAAGCGCTTATTCCGCTGTGCCATCTCCCCAACGAGGCCAGTTTTCACTGTGGACAGAGAGTGGCCGAGCCCTTGGCTAGGGCCTGAGATCCATGACCCAGCAGCACGAGGGGCTGCGGCTGGGCAGGGGGACCAGGCTGACAGAGCAAGCCTATGACCTTCAAAGGCTGGCACCGCTATGGGACACGTAGTGTGAGGCAGAGTGCAGGGACTCAGCTGCGTCTGGCCAGCTCACCTCCTCCAGCTGGCTGTGCACATGCTGCACAATCAGGTCGATGGCCACCGTGTTCCCGCTCCCTGGGCAGACAGAGGAGGGCAACTCAGAAGCCGGGTTGCCTGTGCGCCCAGCCCTGTAGCAGTGGCCTGGGAGCCTCACCTCTGGGCACAACAATGTCTGCCAGACGCATGGTCGGCTGGATGTACTGGTCAAAGGCAGGCTTGACAAACTTGTTGTACTGCTTGATAACACCCTCAATGTCCCGGCCTCGCTCGCTGATATCCCGGCGCAGCCGCCGCACCAGGCGGATATCAGAGTCTGTATCCACAAAGATCTTCATGTCTAGGAGCTAGATGGGGACAGTGAGCCGATGAGCCGGGCTGAGTGCTGTCCCAGCAGAGCCAGTATGGCCACAGGGGGTCAGCTACTGCTGTGAGACCGCCTGGTCTGGGTGGTGGGTCTGGCCAGAGCATGGTGGGCGCGTGCACCCAGAGGTATACATAAGAGGTGTGAGGGTGCCTGTGTGGGGGGGTGCTGTCCTCAGGGGCTCAGGGCAGAGTCAAGCAGGAGTGGATCTGGGCAGCATGACACACTGCTCACTACAGTTCCTGTGATTTTTTTTTTTTTTTTCCAGAACTTTTTTGGGTTTTTTGCGGAACCAGGGATTGAACTCAGGTCCTTGCGCTTGCCAGGGAAGCACTTATTCCGCTGAGCCATCTCCCCGGCCCCCTTCCTGTGAATATTGAGAGAACTTTTCTTTTTTATGGTACCAGGGATCAAACTTGGGACCTTGTGCTTGTCAGGCAGATGCTTAAGCCACTGAGCTACCTCCCCAGCCCTCCTGTGGATACAAAGGGACCTGGCACTTGGAGAGCTCTAGGTGTGGTCTTGCCACTTAGCACATGGCAGATATCCCTTGAGGAGCTGTTCTGGGACTAGTGCTGCTGTGTGCCAGAGAATGGCATCCTGTGAGCCTGAAGATCAAACTCAGCCCATGGTAAAGCCCCATAAACTCCTTGGCCCTTAGTCCTTGCCTGTACCTCAGCAAAAAACAAGAATGTGAAGAACATGGCGGATACAGGCAGAGGACTCAGCAGTGGAAGAAGGAACAACAGTCCTGAGCAGTCGTACCATACCATGCTGCCCAGCAGATGGACAAAGGTACACCATGCCTGAGGTTGGGGAGGGGCCCACTCAGGAAGTGGAGTAAATGGCCTTCAGGACAGGCAATGAGGCCTTGCTGGAGGAAGCATGTTTAACGAACAGGGACACCTGCATGGTGGATGTTCCTACTAGGTCCTCACCTCCAGCAGTGTCTTGTCAGCAAAGGCCATGATGCCCTCAAAGATGATGACATTTGCACCATACAGTGTTTTCTGCAAAGGAACCGGGGGAGCTTAAGGGCTCGGATCACACCTCTGCACCCCTCTCTGCAGCCCTGGGCCTACCCACTCCTTCTTTCGGCTGTGGGTGGTGAAATCATAGATGGGTACTTGGACACTCCTGCCCTGCTTCAGCTTCTTGAGGGTGGAAATGATGAGATCGAAATCAAAAGCGTCTGGATGATCAAAGTTGAAGTTGTTGCAGGCAGCCTGCTCCTGCTGCTGTGGTGTCAGCACCTGTGGATGTCACAGAACACAGGAGGGCCCGCAGCCCCTGGCTTGGCCCTGCTGAGGCCCAGGCATGCATGGGGCACAGAGGCCAGAGGGAGTATGCTGGGTGCTCTGGGGAGCTGGGCGTGCCTCACCTTGTAGAAGGAGTCCATGGACAGCAGGACCACCCAGGGCACATCCAGGGCCTCAATGATCATCCTGGCCACGGTCGTCTTCCCAGAAGCACTGCCACCTCCCAGCCCTGCCAGGGAAGAGATGCTCTTGGTCAGGAGAAGCAGGGCGGCTGACACAAATGGGCCCCAAAGGTGCCCACCTGTACTTATCTCACTCACCAATGGCGAAGGCCTCCTTGGACTGAGTGCCATGCTCATTGTACCAGGGAGGCCGCCCTGCTGTGTAGATGGTCCGCTTGCTCGTGCGCAGCAGGGGTGGCTCGGACTTGCACTGGCTGGTAGTGCGCTTCCGAGGTGAGCGTCCAGCACCCACCGGTGGGAGGAGTCTGTCCAGGGACCCCGCATTGCTAATGCAGAGAGAGACACTCAGCCTAGGCCCAGTGCTCTCTGGTATCCAAATCACACTCAGAGAGGGATCCTTGGGACATGTCCCTGAAGACATAGGCTCAGCCACGATAGGTGGCTCATCTAGGGGGTATACAAGAATGCACATGCAGGGCCGGAGAGATGGCTCAGTAGAATAAGCGCTTCCCTGGCAAGCGCAAGGATCTGAGTTCAATCCCTGGTTCTGCAAAAAAAAAAAAGTGCACACGCAGCTGATTCCAGAGGGAGCTGATTCCAGAGGGCCTTGGGCCATCTGCCCATAGAATGAGGACCACACACATGATGCTAGAAACAGGAGTGTGCCACCTCTGGGCCACGAGCTGCCTTTTGTGTGCCCTAGGCTGGATGGAGGCCTCAGGGGATGGAAGTGTGCGCTCAAGGACAAGGAGACCTGCGGAGGCCCGCCCCACCCAGCCCGGGTGCCCCTGCTACGCTGGACAGCAGGCACCCTAGGAGATGGGTGGGCAGTGCGGGGGCAGCAGTGAGGCCAGATGCAGCAGCAGGGCTGCCCTGTGCAAGGTGATGCCCTGCCACATCTCACTGGCTGTCACAGCACAGGACAGATGCCAAGAGGAGATGCTATGGCCGGGAGTAGTGGTACTTGCCTGTAATCCAGCACTCAGGGGGCTGGGGCAGGATCCCCAAGAGTTCAAGGCCAACCTGGTCTACATAGTAAGTTTAAGACCAGCTTGAACTACACAGAAAGACCGTGTCTCAAAAAAAAAAAAAAAGGAGATCCTAGGCTGGAAGTCCTACAGGGAACTCAGTTAATTCCTTCTGAGTCCCCAAGGTAGAAACCTCAGCATCCTCCAAACACTATCTGACAGGCTGACTGCTGAGCTGAATCCTGAGCCACCCAGGGGAGGCTGCCAGGTGGAAACTCAAACGCAGTTGGTTTGTGTCCCCAAAGGGGTACCATTTCTCACTGTGGCCTCAAACCTCAGAGAGGGCAGCTTTTGGGAAGACCCAGTCAGCTGCATGGTACACCTACCTAGTTGGCAGATACTATGGTAAGGATACCCAGGCTGGGCAGAGGCACTTATGCCGCAGTAGAAAGGGAGTTGGACCTGTCAGTGTTCCCACTATCTTTCAGGGGACTGAAGTGGGAATGACTTTTGGACTAGGGCCCTGACTGCACAGGGCAGAGCCTCTGGCAGGCAGGAGGGACATTTATAGAAATAGCAGGTAGAGGGGGAAGCTCCTTGTCTCTCCTTTCTTGTGGTCTTCCTGGTGCCCACAATAAAGGCCTCTTAAAGAAAGAACAAACGGAGCTGGGGACATAGCTCAGTAGAATAAGCGCTAAAGGCCTGAGTTCAATCCCTGGTTCTGCCAAAAAAAAAAAAACAAAAAAAAAACAAGAGACCAGATTACACTACAGAATGAGACCCTGTCTCAAAAACTGAACCAAAATAACCAAAAGGAAAAGAAAAGGAAAGGGAGAAGAGTGGGGAAAAGGAGAGGGAAGAAGAAAGAGCAGGTGGGTGTGCAGGGCCAGCTCCTTGGGGTGCTTCTGACCATGGTGTCACTTGCTCACCATAGTCTGGAATCCCACATGTGATGAATATGCAAAGGAATACCAAGTGAGGCCTATGAAAAGATGTGATTCCAAGGGCGGGCCTGATAGTATTGTACCCTGTTAAAATTGACTCCGTTTTGTTGCCCTTCTAACCTCCCCGAGTTCCTGTTCTGTATGCGCTGACCCCTCCCAATTCCTCCAATTTCCCAATTCCTCCAATTCCGTGATTTCAACACCCCCGCCCAATGCGCCCACTCCATGTACTCATGACCGCCAATTCAGCACCCCACCCAATAAGGACCACCTAATGAACTAATGACCCTGCCACTTCTTCCTCTCCACCCCTCCCCCGTTTCTGCGGTTTTCAAGCTTAAATACTGACCCCTTGTCAATGCCCGGCGGCGCGCCTCTTTGCACCTTGCATAGAGACTGCCGCTGGGTACCAGCTAAAATAAAGCGCTTCTTTTAACTTTTGGACTTGCCTCGTTGTCATCTAATTTTTGAGTTACAACAGATAGCTCAGCAAAATAGAGCACCTGTTTAGGCAGAGCGCAGTGGCCCAGGTTTGATCCCCATGTGTCATGCTGGCCCCCTGAGGCAGCAAATGAGACTGGGCGTGGTGGCACACCCCTATAATCCCAGCGCTTTGGGAGACTGAAAACAGGAGTCCAATCTAAGTAGTGAGACCCTGTAGACCCTGTACTAATATCGGAAAAACAAACAAACAAACAAACAAACAAACAGAAAAGATGGGATTACATTTACGGGAAAACCCAGCAGATGAGCCAGTTATGGTAGCACAAACCTGTAATCCCCGGAAGCTACACCAGAGGCTGAGCTAGAGGAATACAAGTTTAAATTCAGCCTAAATAATCGTACGTCCAAAATAAAAGGGCCAGGGGCTGGTGAGATGGCTCAGTGGTCTAAAGCACCTACTTAGAACAAGCTTAGCAAATCACAGGGACCTTGGTTCAATCCCCCAGCACCACATGCCAGCCAGGCCCGCCCCCTGGTGGGCTGAGCTGGCCACACACACACACACACACACACACACACAAATAAATAAATAAAATTAAAAAAATAAAAATAAATAAAAGGGCCAGAGAGGGCTCAGTGGCTTAAGTGCCTGCCTGGCAAGTGCAAGGTCCTGTTCCATCCCCATAACCACCATAAAATAAAATAAATATTAAAAATAAAAATAACAAGACTGGGGAATGTAGCTCAGTGGTAGAGTACATGCCTAGTATGTGTGAGATCCTGGGTTCAATCCTCAGCCTCACAAAAACAGCAGAACACACCGCCCAGCATATGAAGACTCATCACTGGAATGTGCCTTTGAGTCACTGCCTGTGAGCACAAAAAAAGCTAGAAACAGACCCATCACTCAGAGCTGGGGTTGCCCTGGGCACAGGGACTTAGAACAGAGACTTCTTCCACATTCCATGCAGAGAAGCACTTGCCTGGCTGCAATCAAGAAGCTGGGGGGGTCAGGGAGATGGCTCAGGAGAATAAGTGCTTCCCTGGCAAGAGCAAGGGCAGGGCCCAAGTTCAATTCCTGGTTCCAGCAAAAGAAAAGAAGCTGGGTGTCCCACTGCCTCCACTGCAGCCACTGCCTCACGGCCCATGTGGTGCTTCCCTCTGTGGCACTCACAGAATGAACATGGGTGACACAAGCACCTTCCTGCCTCTGCATAGAAGCACTGTTTGCAGGTGGGCGGTCCTCCCTGTGCACCCTGCTGTGACCACAGTCCATGGTCATAGTCTAATGCAGTATAGGGAAAGTGGAAGGAAGGGACTGAAACCTAATGTGCAGCAGATCACGCTGGCAGCTCTCACAGCCACAGAGCAACGTGGGCACAAGCTTGAGTAGTAAAAAGACCACCCATCCGTGTGACAAGGAAAACACACTGCACTTGTTCTCAGGGACAAAGCAGCCACGCCTGGTTGTTTCCACACCACCCATCCTGTGAGAGCTTGGGAAATAACTAGCCAGTCGTGAGCCCTGGGGCTCAGCACCGCACTGGCAACAGGCTAAGCACAGAAAGATGGCCTGGCAGGGAGCTCCACAGTGCGCCAAGATGGGAGCGGGGGGCAGGGGCCAGGTGTGGTGTACACACCTGCAACCCCAGCAGCCAGGAGGCTGAAGCACAAGGGTCACCGCATGCAAGGCCACTGTGGGCCACATCGTGAGTCCAAGGCCAGCCTGAATTCACTGTAAAGCCCTGCCTAACAAAACAAGACAAACAAAACACCTATGGGGCCGGCCAGATAGCCCCGCAGATTAAAGCGCCTGCTTAGAGAGACACAGGGACCGGGTTTTTTTTTTTTTAAATTTAAAAGTTTTCCTTTATTCATTTATTTATTTTTTATGGTCAGCTCAGCCCACCCTGGGGGCGGGGCTGGCATGGCATGTGGTGCTGGGGATCAAACCGAGGTCCCTGCATGCTTGCCCAAGCTTGCCTAAGCAGGCGCTTTAGACCACTGAGCTAACTCGCCAGCCCAGGGACTGGGGTTTGATCTCCATGCCAGGCCCCACCCCCAGGGATGCCGAGATGGGGATTGAGACTGGGCATGGTAACGCACACCTGTAATCCCAGAGCCTGGGAGGCTGAAAACAGGAGGATAAGTATGAGTCCTATCTGTGTAGTGAGACCCTGTAGACTCTGTACTAAATACATTTTTTTTTTTTTTTTTCTGGAACCGGGGATTGAACTCAGACCCTTGCGCTTGTCAGGGAAGCGCTTATTCCACTGAGCCATCTCCCCAGCCCCTGTACTAAATACATTAAAAAAAAACAACAACAACAAAACCCAAACCTGTAAGTCCAGTACTCAGGAGGCTGAGGCAGCAGCCTCATTGCAAGTTCAAGACCAGCCTGGGCTACAAAATGAGCTCAAGGCCAGCCTGAACTGCATGGTGAGACCCTGCCTTGAAAAAAACAACAAAAAACAAACAATAAAGAGGGTTGGGGGAGAGCTCAGCCACATAAACACCTGCCTGGAAGCACAAGGTCCTGAGTTTGATTCCAAAAAAGGGAGCAGGACAGTTTGTGGGAGACATAGGTCAGAATATGATGAGCTTCTGAGGGGCTCTACTACACTCCAACTCAGGTCTGCCTGGAGGGCTCTCAGCCAAAAGGGATAGAAGGGACTCACCATCAGCCACACATATCTCTGGACACAGTGCAGCTGGCTGCTCACCTGGAACACTAATCTGCCTACAGGAAATCAGCTGCCCCTTCCCACAGCTGGGGGATGGCAGACTCCCTTGGGCTCCAGGCTGAAAAATGACTGGGCCTGCAGAGCCAGCACAGTCCAGAAGAAAAGCCAGCTCTGAGTGACCCGAGGCCACAGTGAGCTGCCAAGAAACAGATTGGCCTCTTCTCTGTGTGCCCCTCCCCAGCCCACAAAATCACGCTTTGCCTCAAGCTCTGGGTAGAACTCCTGGCACAGACCCTCTGAATGGTGTAAGGGGCAAGGGGCTCCTAACACTACCAGAGCTGTGGATGGTGAGCTCTGAACTCCAGTGGTGAGTGGTATAAAGCCAGTGGTATAAGGCAGGACCAACTTGGACACTGGGCAAAAGTAAGGCCCGAGGCTCTTTCTGTTCTCCTTGGTTCTCGCTATACAGCCCCTGTCAGTGACGCTTCCTCACTATACTGATCTCATTACCACCACCACCGCTCCCCTCCAGGGCTCATGCTGCTGAGCCTAATGTAGACCTGCTGGGAAGAACAGCCAGTTGTAAGCAGGCTGGAGAGAAAACCTGCCTGATCCTGCTTTTGATGGACTCAGACAATGCCAGGCTGGGTCCACACCAAGCCCAGCTCCACTGTCTCACAGGAAGTGTCACTAGAGGAGGATAGTTTGCATGCAAGACCCCGTTTCCCATCCACAGATGGACAAGGGTGCTTCTGACAAAAACTTAATCACAGCTCAAAGGATTACAAACCATAACACACTCACAACCCAGAGCCCTAAGCAAAACCACGCCTGCAGCCTGAGCTGTGCAAGCTCCCCAGAGTGCCTGCCAGCCTATTTGTTTTCTGATATCCATAGACACGCATTGCATGAAGGTTGCACCAAACACTGGTGCGGAGTGGCCAGCACCACTGTGAAGGTAGACTCTCCTCCCCAGCAGGGACTTTGCTGTGACTCACCTGCCTTCAGCTCCAAAGGCCCAGCACCCTGAGATCCTGATGCCAGGGTAAGCAGGGGGGCTGTTCATGGCTAAGGACGTAGTGGGCACAGGGATCCTGGAGATGGGTGCTCCTGGGCAGCAGGGGAATCCCAGGAGAGTGTGGCTTATGTGCTGGCAGTTAGGGGAGGCATCGCATCCTCTTAAATCCACAGCAGCTTCCCAGCACAGTTCAGGAGCTCTGGCTGCCTGAATTGGCCCTCCATGGGTGGGGCAACTATTCTTGTGGGCAGCACAGCAGCTAAAGAGGTGGGTGGGGCTGGAGCTTTGGCAGAGACAGGCACGGAAGCTGGGAGGCCCAGGAGCCCACCGTACTACAGGCGCACACTTGCTGCTGGCCTCAGAAGCCAAAGCCACAGGCATAAGAGGATCACCCAGTTGGGGCTCACGCGCCAGATATTAATAGCACTGATTTTGCCCGCTGTGGCCTGCAGTCCCCAGGCCAGCCCTGTGTGTGGACTGCCTGCTTTTGCACAGATTTGCTGAGGACCACAACTCTAGCACCCCTCCCACAACTCCCTTAAGAAACTGCATTCCCCACTTCCACCCACCAATAGGACAAGAAAATTTGAGGCCCCTCATGAGATGACCAGGTGCCTTGAATGTTAGTGCTGAGCTGGACGCTCCACCTAGGACTCCAAGGTGCCTCCCGCAGGCATAAACAAATCTGAAATTCTACCCTGCAGCAGCATCCAAGAATAACTGCCCCACCCCCACCACCCAGAGGCTCCAGCAGGTCCCCATAGCCACCCAATGCTTAGCAATCTTCAGGGGACACTGCCACCTCCCTGCCCACAGCAATGAAAGGGAGGAATGGGCCCCACCCTAAACAAGGATGGAACAGCTGACAGGGGATCTGCACTGAGAGGCTCTGGCTGGCCCCAGGCCACCTTGAGGGGGGGATTATGTGTGCCAGTTCCCTCCTGCATGACAGTCTTGAGGCCAGATAGCTTCTGGTGTTCAGACAGGGACTGGCCATGGCTCAGGGAAAAGGAAGATCCCACATGGGTTTCAAACACAAGGGGGTACTCCAAAAAAGAAAAAATCAAAAACAAAAACAAAAAAATGTGACCTGGGGTGGTAGCTCGGTGATAGTGCTTGCCCAGCATGCACAAGGCCTGAGTTTAATCCCCAGTACCATGAACAACAAAACAAACAAACAAATATAAGGTGGTACTCTCGGGATGGCCTTGTAGGCAGCCTGTCCTGACTGCTCAGGTAATCCTGGAGCTGTCGGTGGTCCAGGAGCACCACAGGTAGCTGGCTGGTGGCACACCAGGCCTGGGAAGGTGGGTGGGATTTAGTCTAGGCTCAGAGAGGTTGAGGTTCCCCTGGCAAGGGTGCAGACTAGGGCTCTGGGTGATCTGTCCACCTGTACTGTCTGTGCAGCAGAGGGGGAAATCAGGCTGGACGATGTGGCATGTTTCCTGGATACCCCAGATGGCCAAGACTTCTGGCTGGGAGAAAAGCTACAGGTCTGTGGGAAAACACACCCAAGGTGAGGGTCTAGTACAAGGTCTCACCCTGACCCTGGTACACAGCTAAGGTACTAATACAATTGCCAGGTTCAAGCACACAACAGCCAGCAGTCCCCCTGCCTGGACTGGCTCACCAGTCCCCCTGCCCATGCCCCTACTAGGAAGTCCTTATGCCAGCTAGTTAGCCCAAAAGCTCCAGTACCATCTCCCCCAGTGCTAATGCCCTTGGTCAGCCAGGCAAACCTAGAGCCCTGCTGGCTAAACACCTCTGCTCAGATACTCTCCCACTCTCCTGTTCCAGATTCCAGGGCTGCCTCAAGAGGCTTCCCAGTCTCCACTGTGACTCAGGGTCATGGCGTGGTCAGGCGTGGTTCAGACCTCTCCACCATTCACCCCAGAGCTGTGGCTGGCCTCTGTCCCCTCCTCACAGGCAGCAGCAGAAGCTCTATTGGAGCTGAGGACCCAAGCAGTTTCTCACATGTAGTGGCACTCTAGAAGCAAGGACAGACATACACTTCCAAGTAGGTCGCCTGCAGTGAGTGTCCCCAGCCAGAGAAACCACAATCCAATGTTTGCTGAAGGGACTGTGGAGAGGAAGAAGAAGGCTCCTCTGCTACAGCCAGCGGACAGAGAGAGGTCTCAGAGCATGCGCTGAGGTGCAGAGCTGTCACAAGCGCAGTGTGGAGCCAGCACCCAGCCTCCGGCTGCGGGGAGAGACAGCAGGGTGGACACAGGGTTGAGGGCCCATCTTGGCCCGTGGGACACTTTCCGCGGAGGGCTGCTCCTTCCAGCCACGCTAGGCTGACCAACCAGCCTCCCTCCACTCTGCACCCTGCTTGCCATTGCACACACGGCAGCCAAACTCACCCTCCTCCCGCACAGGCCCAAGGCTGCTGAGGAGAGAGCTGCGAGCCCGGCAGGTACCAGGTCCATGTAGGCGGTGTGGGGTGAGCCTGAGAGCCCCTTGCTGGACACGAGGTCCACCTCGACCTCCACTGCAGCAGCCCCGCACCCCTGGCCGCCAGGGACCCCCTGAAGATGCTGTGCCCAGGACAGTCAGCGTTGTCAGGAGCCCTCAGAATATCTGGCCGTGGTCTCTTTGCTCCTGGTCACAATACGAGAGCCTGGCTCCATGAGCACCCCGACTCCAGACCAGTCCCGGGCCACACAGGTTCCAGGGCCTGGGGGTTATTCGGAAGGTTCCCAAAACACCCAGGCGCTCAGCTCTGCCTGGCGGAGGGGACAGCGGCTCCGGGAAGGCCCGGTTCCGAAGTGCTGCAGGGCTGCAGTCAGACGGAGGAGGCGCCCTGGGAATGCAGCCTCCACCCCCTGGTGGCCACGGCCTGAAGGCGCGGCGGTGTGCGACCAACCCAGTGGCGGTGGGCTGCCTCACAGGCCCTGCCCTCCGTGACAGCAAGACAGCCACGAGGGCCCACACTGGCGGGACAGTCGGGAGCCTCCCACGCCACACGGAACCAGACCGCTGGCCACCGATCGAAAGGCTCGGCCCGAACACGACCCACCCGGAAGGCGAAGCAGGGCACAGACCTACCTGGGTGCTCGGGGCCTGAGGCCCTCAACCCGGGACGCAAGCCGAAGCCCCCGCGCGCCTCCGCTAACTGCCGCTGGGGCCCGCCAGGCCGCCCACCGCCCACTTTCCTGCTCCTCCTCGGGAGGTGCGGATGCATGGCCAGCGGCGTGGAGGGCTGCACGCTGCGACCCCAGGAGCTCCGTCCGCGGTGAGGTCCTACGGCCACACCGCCGACAGGGCTGGGGTGAGGCCCCGGCTCCTCGGGGGTCCGTGGCCTTGAGACCCTTCCCCTCCCCCGCAGACGGAAGGCGCGCGGCCCGCGATGCTCAAGCCGCGCCTACCGGTCTTCGCTCGCGGCCTCGCTGTGCTCTGCCTGCCGGCCTGTGCCCTCCGGGGAGGCCGCGGAGGGCGGCGGGGGCGAGGGGGCGGTGTCCGCGGAAGCTGGCGGGGCAGCCATGGCTCGGGGAGAGCAGGCGGCTGCCCGGAGCGACTGCACGAGCCTGGGGCGCCCGTGGACTACGAGTCCCAGAAGGCCAAGCGCGCCGGCGCGCCCGTACCATAGAGGCCGGGCACCTTAGCACAAACCCAGCCGCACAAAATGCCCTGGAAAAGAAATCAATAAACATTTATTTGATACAGTCATTTCTAATACATACAGTTGATGGCCTTACCCCCACCTCCGGTCCAGGGAGCAGGGCGGGGCCGAGGATGGGGACAGATGGTCACAAGGTGGGCAAGGCCCAAGCTCACCGTCAAAACATCTTGCAAATAAACACTTTGTAGATAGAATATATACGTATATATATGGTTACGAGTGATAGCTGGAACCTGGCTTTCAAAATGCACTTGTGTACTGAGAACTGCGTTTAAAAAAGAAAAAAAGTCATGATACCTAAAATTTAGGATGCATGGCCTTTAAGCAGAAGGGGTGACCCACTGACCCTCCTGAGCCCAGACTCGACGCAAGCTGCCTGGGCCAACCCAGCAAGGTCTCTCAGGGACAGCCTCCCCTCCCACGGTCTCCGTTTAGAACCACCAAAGGGATAGGAAGGCCCACTGGAACCTTGGACACACCCTCATCTGTCTGTGCAGGAGCAAGTAAAGTGCATCCCATTTTTGTGGGAAGTGTCAGCCCCGGGGCACCTTGTTCGGTCAGAGGGCAGGGCTTGTACTGGGCCAGAGGTAGATCTGCAGAGACCTCGACTGTCTCATTTCGCTAAGGTCCCAGGGTGTGCGCCTCCAAGGTCCACGCTCATCAGACCCTGGGGGTCGGCCATGCTGGTCCCTCTTACTGAGACTGTCTATGGAGGCCAGTGGTTGCCTGGCCCTGACTGGAACAAGGGCAAGGCCTATACAGGCTTGCCCAGGGCCCTGCCCTCTTGGGCCTAGGGCTCTCAGCTTGCCACTGCCCCTTACCAGCTACTGTCAGAGGGAAGGTGGCAGAGAGGGAGGGGTACAACCCAACAGCCACTTCTGGCAGCACTCCCCCAGGCCCACTTCAAAGACAAAGAAGGGAGTTAAAGTGCTAAACATCAAGTTATCCAGGACTCCTACTTTCCACACCAGGGACTACCTGTGTGCTCTGAGGGGTGTCCTAGAAACTCACCCCCCGCCCCGCAAAAAATAGGGTCACCCTCCTCCCCTCAAGTGCCAAGTACCTGAGAGGCTGGGGCAGGCAGCAATACCCTGCAGAAAGGTGTTGGGGGTCTAACCTCCTTCACCACAGGTAACAAGGGCTAAGTGCACCAGGGCCTCCCCTCTACAGCTGCACATGACTAGCATTCAGAATACATATAGAAAGAACAGCCTCCTGCCCCAAAGTCCCAGCCTACCCTTTGATGCTGAATCACACCCATTTCTGCCTAGCTGCCAAGCTCTGAACAGGACCAAGGTGTGTGAAGCAGTAATAGAACACCCTTTACACCTCTCCTCAGGTTGTCCAGGGTGAGCCTTCCCAGACAGAAAAACCATGACAACCCCAAAGCCCAAAGCCCTCTAGGGGTGCTCTCCCTACTGCAGGCTGGAACCCCACGTATAGTCCCTCCACCCTGCTGGGAGAGGGGTGCCCAGTCAACGCAGTCCCTGGGCAGCAGAGGAGCCTGGTTACAGTCAGCCCAGCTCAGGCCCACCTTCGGCACCAGGAACCCTTAGCACCAAAATGTCAGATTGTTGTGAATTTTCATATAAAAAACAGAATTTAAAAAAGTTGTTACTTGTCACAGCAACAAGACTGGCATCCACTACACCCAGGAGACACGCACACAGGCAAATATCAAAATTCACATCATCCAGGATCAGCAAGGCCGAGCCTTCAGCCCACCCCCAACCCCTCTGGAAGATGGCCTCAGTCTGAGTCCTTCTAAGCATCTCTCTCCCTGTACCAGTGTTGGAAGGCGAGCCAGAGAGGAGGCCAGAGGCTGCATGGACACCTTCAGGAGCCCTGCCTGGAGTTCCTGCCCAACCCTTGCCCAACCTACATAATCTCCTGTCCACAGGGGCCCTAAGGGGAACACACAGCCCTGGAGCTGCCACCTTGGTCACGGTCCCGCCACTCACTGGCCCTTAGTTCCTGTTATCAAATGACCATGCCACGAGATACACAAGGGGCAGGTAAAGAAAGGGAAAGGCAGGATGACGTCCACAGGGGCTCAGCCTCTAGGCCAGTCCTGGTAGATGGAGGCTATCTTCCACAAGGGTGACTCC